ATACAGTGCTGCCAACTCTCACATCTGGTATAAAAGGTCAAATAGGATTATCCAAACACATTTTTTGAAGAATCAGACAATTGTTTACAAGATCAACCATCAAGAACTGTTCAATTAGATTTACTCGTTAATGCTATATCTTTATTCTGGTAAATTGATGTGCTCAATAGAAGACTCGTGACTCTGGACCTTACAGGTGAGCTTGATTGTGTTATCTTGCCCACTGAAAGGGGAACAACTTCTTGATGATTCCAGAAACAAATACAAAAGAATGTATAGCGTCATTTTCCTTTAATTATATAGCTATTAGAAATCTATGGTAGGGACAATATATGGGAAAACTCAAGTGGAAACATGAGGTATGATGAATTGGTAGATACAGAGTAATAATGGCGCCAGACCTCATTTAAACTACATAAGTATGACAAATCTAAAGTGCAACAGTGTCACTCAAGCATAGAAATTATCTATTTACCTATACTACATTACAATCATTAGTAATTTAGTTACAAAGGTATATAACTTGAAACCACCAAAATATAAGTTTTCCCATAAAGTAGGAACTTTAAACCATTTGGAAAATAAGGAAAAAATGGCATCTAAAGTACATGTGACTACTTCCAAACACAATTCTTAACACAAACCTGAACTTCAATTGCAGCCTCTCGACCTACAGTTAGCATCTGCACAGTCCTTCGTTCCTTTAAGCAGTCACGGAATGATGGCAACTGGGGTTTCTTCCCAACCAGAAAATCTGCCTCAAAATAAAAATTATACATAAGGCATGAGATTTAGCTAGTAGCTACTTCAGCAAAACATGGAAGCACAAATCCGATAAGGCCATTTGATACAGCAACTTCAGCATTACCCCAGCAGCAATTATCCAAGGGAGACCGCTTTTGACATGCTGACAATTAGTGACTTACAATGAAATAAATTCAATCAAAGACAAAAGAACAATAAAAATAGTAAAAGTTTCAAGTGGATATAAAATTTCATATCAACTTACCTCTTAGATAATCCATGATGAAAGGGTATAAAAGGGCACGAGTTAGTCCTCCACCAGGTTCTTTATCAAGCAATGCTCTAATAGATCCATGAAACATCATGAAAAGAGAGTGAATTTCCTTAAGAACCTCTCTTAATGCATCAATCCTCCATATGGCTTCGGCCTCCTTACTTTTCTCCACTACCTACAGCAAGTTTAACAGATATCACCTACCTAGAATAACGTCAGAAGACCATAATTTAACAGACTACCTAGTTACATGTACTCTTCTCTTTTTCCAACAAAATGCTGACAATTAGGGAAATTCTTATAAACAAGGCCAAAAGGATTCCAAGACAGTCTATAGAGACGAATAAAAAAGCATTTCGTACATCTATACATAAAATTAGTAATTCAGAAGAAAATAAACATAGAAAAATATTTCATGCTAGAAAATTACAATCACGTCCATACCATAACCATCCAGATATCTAGCTCTGCCTCGTAAAAGACATGAGAGTGCTTCTCTGCTTCTATAACCTCGCAAGCAGCCTCCGGAGAGAAAATTCTGCAGGAAAAAGAAAAACACAAATTCTTTGAAAAAGAACTAGCTAGAATAAGAAACTGTGTTCTAATTTTAATTTGAACATGTTCGATCAGGAAAGGAGTCCCTTAGTACTAACCGCGTGAATGTAATGAGCCCTTCGCTGAGCCCAATCACGGAGAGTTGATTTGAAAAGGGCAAATCAGCAGGGAAGAAGTATAAAATTTTGTCAAGTTCTTGGCCTTCATGTTGGCCTCGTCTCAAATCAAATATACAGAGTTGCATGCCTTCACTAGCAGTTCCAATTGACGAGAAACCCATGCAACTTGCTGAATTGGCTCAATGGACCTGATTGAAATTAAGAGAGAAAAAGGAAAAATTGAATGCAAAAAGCTAAATAATTAAAAGAAGAAAAGAAATAAAAAAATAAGAAGAGAGACAGAGAGATGCAAAATCACTTACTGTGTAGAATTTGGAGATGAAGCTTCTCCGATCCTCGGTAACCAAAGAATGAGAGCGAGAAGACTTTGGTCTAGAAAAACAACTTTGAATCGTAGGTGGAAGGAGTAACTGTTAGTTAATGCATACAAATCAAACGACAAAATTGGGGAATTCATATTAAAGCCCAATTTGAGTTTTTCGGGCCTCGAGCGTACTACCAGACTTCAAGAATTGATCATTGGCCTAAACTCTTTATTAAACTTAAATGAATTTTTGTTGAATAATTATCCGATAAATTGGTAATATTATCATTTTTTTAGATGAATTTTTCTAATAGTATAGGATGATTGTTTGAATTCGATATATGATGTACATATCTTACCAACGTAATTGTTTGAATTCGATATATATAAAAATATTTCTTTAATGTAATAACGTCTTTGTGTTGGTTCGCTTCATTGGTACCATTTCAATTAAAATTCAATTTTATAAAGGCTTAAATATACAAACGTGTCCAATGTATGTCTTTTTTCAGTTTAGTGCTAATATTTTTTTCGTTCCATTTAGTGTCTAACGTTTCATTTCGTTACTCAAAATGGGTCACGTGTTAAGAGGCACGTATTACAATATAGTAATTTTAAAATTTTCTTTTTAAAAATAAATATTAAAAATATTATTATATTTATAATAAAACTCTTATTTCTTTTAAATTACAAAAAAGCCCAAATCCTAACGTTGAAACTTACCCACAGCGTCAGACGGCAACTACGACGTGACCTACCAGTTGGGTTTTGAGCGAACAGTGACGAGGAAGCTAAATATAGTGGCGTTTAGGCGTACGGAGGTCTGAGGCGGCCGAAATCGTCCAAAATCCGAGGCGTCAGGTGGGTTTTCGATGGAACTTCAAGGGTTCGATTCCGACGAATGGCGACGGCTATCCAATAATTATTTTGGGGCTTTGATCATGGCGGCGAGGTGCTTCGATTGGGATGGGCGATGACGGCGATCAGTGTGGGTTTAGGGGTTGAAATGAAAGTTTTCAAAGGTTTTGGATTATTTCGAAATTAATGTGTTCTTTATTTTAAAAATATATAATTTTTGGATTAAAATTATAAATCTTCCTATGGTTTCCCTTGCAGATGATCTGCCACCTCCCTTCAATTACAAGTCCAAATTTACAGATCTGCATCTCTTTAAAAATCTTGGGTTGAATTTGATATTAAAAAGTGTTTGCCTGCACCTCCCTGATATCGTATTTTGTGTCGTAAGTGAAATCGGCATGAGACGACCGATAAGCCATGGACATTTCCTTGTAATCTTGTAAGAAAATCTCCTCTCTCATCAGTGTTTGGTACAAATACATGGATTGGTGTTCCAGTAGTCACTCCTGCAGTTGTGCCATGATTTACACATAAAAAAGGAAGTAGAAGAAGACAGTAATGGTGGATTGTAGTAATTTGAAATAAGATTTAACCTTCGGAATATATCTGTCTCCGTCCTTCGGCAGTAAAGAAAGGTTGTTTTCGATGATTTTTTGGATTAAAATCAAATATTTTTTTGATTGAAAATTATATATTTTTTAAAATCAAAGACACGTTAATTTCGAATAACCTCAAAACTTTGAAGACCTTCATTTCAACCCCTAAACCCACTCCGACCGCCGCAGCCGCTCGTCCGTGCCTGTCACCGCCATGCCCAATCGAAGCGCCTCGTCATGATCAAAGCCCCCAAAACAATTCGTGGATAGCCATCGCCCTTAGTCGGAATCGAACCCTTGCAGTTTCGCCAAAAACCCACCACGACGCCTCGGATTTTGGATGATTTCGGCCGCCTCGGACCTCCGTTCGCCTCACCGCCACTATATTTAGCTTCCTCGTCGCGTCCACTCAAAACCCAACCGGTGGGTCACGTCGTAGTTGTCGTCCGCCTTGTGGGTAAGCTTCGGTGTTAGGATTTGGGCTTTTTTGTAATTTAAAAGAAATAAGAATTTTTTATAAATATAATGATATTTTTAATATTTTTTTTAAAAATAAATTATCAGATTGCGACATGTGTCACTTAACGGAAAAACTAACGGTCCGTCACGGCGTGACCCATTTTGAGTAACGAATAAACATTAGGCACCAAACTGAAAAAAAAAAAACATTAGACACTAAACTAAAAAAACGTCATACGTTGGCACCTTTTGTATTTTTAAGCCTTTATAAACAAGTAAAGAACTTGATAAAATTATTTTAAGTTTTTGTATATAATGTATTTTTAAAAAACAATTACTTATGTTAAAATGATCATTTTCTAGAGTAATTTATATTTTAGATCACGTGCGGATTAACTGACCTCTCTAGTAAAAGAATTGTTGGTATTCTTTAATGATACAGATTCGAGCACCGTGAATATCAGGGTGTGAGCGTTCAATTTCAAGAGGTTTAGAGTTATCTTTGAATAGATATTGCGTCGTACTTACCTTAATTTAATTGAATTATACAATTTAATTTTTATCTTTAATAAATCACGTCACTCATACTAATAGCATTAAATAATTAGAGTAAAATACGCATTTAATATTTAAAATATTAGTTTTAATTGTATTAGTACTAAACTTTTAATTTTTTTCAAAACATAAATTAAATTTTAATGGTACTAAAATGAAATAAAAACTTAAATTTAAGTATGATCTTAAAATATAAAAAGTTTAGATATTAAAACAAACCAAAACTGATAGTGTTTAAATACTATGTATTATATTTTGCGTCAGAGAGTCAAACAAATATTCAAATCAAACGACGTAGAATACAGACGTGGACGGTTGCATGTATACAGGTGCTAGCGTGAGGATACACACAGCATATAAAAATGCTGTCACTCTCCCCAGTCACTACTCCCACAATGTCCATAACCACTAAACTTCAACTCCACACTCCACTAATCTACGTTATACTACACTTCATCACCTCTCTCTCAATCTCTCTCTATTCCATTCCAAACAGAACTTTCAAATTCGAAGTCTTAAGCAATATATCGCATACAATGAAGTTGAAGAACAAGAACATAATGGAACGACTAGCCGCTGCATCGACGTTTGTAAAGAAGAAAATCCGTTCGAGGCGATCTCGACGAAGACGCTCTCAGGTCGCTCCATTTGTTTTGCGAAATCAGACTGTTGATCTCTCCGTCCATTCCAGTTCTTGTTCTTATTTTTTCGACGCCAATGATGTTTCTTGCGATTCAAGCGGATTTTCGAATCCGAAGAAGAGGAGTTTCGATGTAATTCAAGGTGGATATGGAGCTAAGAATCAAGGAAATGAAGGAGCTGGAGAGTCACAGTTTACGAGGATCACGAGATCGCATTACGAGAAGGGAAGAGAAGCTATAGGAAACGAAGTTGAAGTACTGAGTGAATCTTCTTGCGTCGAATCCAATTCTGGAGCTGATTTTCGTCTTTTTTGTGAACGAAGTTCTAAGTTAAAGAAAACGAGCGATAGTTCTAAGGAAATTGAGAGAAACGACGCGGTTTCGGTGGCGGTAACGCAATCGGATGTTTCCTGCATCGAGGTGATTCATGATGAAATCTCAAAACTCTCTTCGAAGTTTAAGGAAAACGACCTCGTTTCGTCGACGTCCGGTTTTGAGTTCTGCTCAACATCGAACTTCGACACTGCAGTTGAAGATAATGAAAACGACGTCGTTGACGCCAATTTCACCGTTTCGAACTCGAAGTTTGTGAGGATAAAAATCCGAAGAGCGTCGCGGTTTAGATTCTTCACAACTCGTTTGTGACGAACAGTTGTCATTGGAGGAAGTCGTATCTGATTACTCATCAAGTCATCGGACTCTGTTTTCTGAGCTGCAATCCATCATTTTCCCTGAAAGTTCGGATTTAGATTTCTCAGACTACACTCCTCTTTTATATGATTCCGGAAGCCAATTCTCTGATCAGAAATCGACCGATGAATCTCCGACTTCATTGACTTACTCTCTTTTTCTCGATTTCAAACAACAATTCTCCAGATCAACATCTCCTTTAGATCCTAAATTTGCTTCAAGCGCTGTAGATGAGTGTCAACTTTATCCTACAGTGAGTTTACTGAATATTTTTATCGAGTTATTTCGTTGAATGATAACCTTTTGTTGAGTGAATCAAATGATTTAAATTTTCTGTCCTTATCTTTTTTTAAAAAGTTGGTGAGGTTTGAAGATGAGGAAGACGAGGAGAGTTACAAGAGGTTTAGGGAAAGAGAAAGAAGGCAGGTGTTTTTGCGTGATTATGCCGAGGAATACCGATTCACAACTGACCATGGCGATCTTATTCTCCAGCAACGTTCTTTCATGATCCGTTGGATCGTTGAGGTCTGTGACTCTTTAGATCTTTATGAACTCGCTTTAATCTCACCAGAAAGTACAATTTGGGATGTTCTCTGCTTGACGATTTTACACATGCACTGCGCTATGAATCAAATCGTGACACTTCACCATTTTAAGGCATGAAAAAGACTTACTACCACTTTTTTTTTCTTGATGTTTATGAAAGTTATAAAGGGTTACTATTAAGAGTCTATACTTTTCGCCCTTCCTATTGGCTTGTTGTTTGGACCCTTTTGTGATACTGTGATAGACTGTTTAAACCTCGGTAGCATGTAGTTTCTGTGCCTTAGAAGGGATTCTATCGTATTTCTTCCTTCAGGTAGCCCGCAACTGAATCAAACTTGGGTGAAAAGAAACTCGTTATATAGATAGCATTGATTGGTCTTTAGCTTTCAGCATTTTAATATATATATATATACACGTGTGTGTGTGTGTGTTTATGTTGTTAAATAGCCTGTACCAACCGTTTCTTTATTCGTTTAGTGATAATATGTTGTCCAAGTTGATTGACATGTTTTCTGATTTTGAAAGCAGCAAAGTACTGCAAAGGAGTTTCAGCAGGAAACCATATTCCTTGGAGTTAGCTTGCTTGACAGATTCTTAAGCAAAGGATTCTTCAAAAGTAGAAGGAGCCTTCAGATCGTTGGAATAGCCTGTCTTACATTGGCCACCAGATTAGAAGAAAATCAGCCCTACAACAGGTGACGATTACGATAGTTCCTCTCTTTCAATGGGTTACAATTAGGGCAAGGAATTTGCTAATGAGAACTTATTTGTGGCTATACTTAATAATACCAGTGTGCGGCAAAAGAACTTTTACATTGGGAGCAACAAGTACAGTAGAAATGAAGTGGTGGCCATGGAAAGACTGGTGATGGAGTGTCTCAACTTCCAATGTTTTCTGCCTACTATCTATAATTTCTTATGGTAAGTTTTTTCCTCCCGTGTGCCAAGCACCTTCAATTGGAGACATTTAAGACAATCATTTAGATTATACGTTCACCTATATTCCCTTGAAAACTTATTCTGTAATTTTGATTGCTTCCTTAGACATGTTATAAGGTTCTGAAGCAAGAACTGATCTCAAATTATCCCTAGGTTCTATCTCAAAGCAGCCAAGGCTGATGCAGAGGTAGAAAAGAGGGCCAAGTATCTGGCTGTGGTTGCACTGTTGGACCACAAACAGCTGCGCTATTGGCCATCGACAGTTGCGGCAGCGATTGTCATAATGGCTTCTATGGATGCCAATCAACATGGATCGTACCACCAAGTCATCGAGGTACAAATATACACAAATATATATATATACACACACACACATATATTACATTCAGCATCAAGGCTTTTGAAAAGGATGTAAAAGCAAGGTTTGCATCACTATCTTAATTGGAACATTGTTCTCCTTCGAGAATCGTAAATATCATCACAATGTTTCGCATTGGTTTGCACTAAATCTACGTTCTGATGTTAAAATCTATATGTTTTGGCAGATTCATATGAGAACCAAAGATAATGATTTGCCTGAATGCATGACGGTATGGCTACTATACCACCGAATATTACTATAAAATAATCTTCTTTTGCAATTTCTGAGTGCACTGATAATGTTTGACTAAACAGAGCTTGGACTGGTTGGTACAGTACTTAAGCTGCAGCATGGCAAAGAAAAGGGCCCTGAACACATACCGTTTCCATTATTTGCCTTATAATTGAGGCATTATTCATTTCAAACCCTATTATTAAACGAAATCTGTCGTAAGTTGTTCATACTTGTACTTGAAGCTCATGTGAAGTAGAATTTACCCCAACTATATATGCATATTGCGGTTTGAAAAAGGTTAAAATTGTTAGGAAAAAAATGTTAATCCGAGATAAAATAATAATAATAATAATAAATATTATTATATAATTAAACAAAATAAAAATAAATAAAATTTAAAGTAGAGGCAAGAAATTGGTTTACTCATATTTGTACACTAAATCGGATGAGTAAAGTAACATAAATCGAAGGAAAATTTTGTTGAGGCTTTTATGAACAATTTCCTTTAAGACATATTCGTCCTCTCCTAGGTGCTTTGAGTAACGTTTGACGTCGAACAGTAAGTACAACCGTAGTGGTCAGTCGAACACAATCTTGTCTTTCTCTATCACCGGAAATAACGAATTTGAAAGGAATTTTCTAAGTGATTTCCTAATTCAACTTTGTTAATTGTGTCTCAAAGTTGTCTAAGATTGTGCTTCAAGTAACCTATTTATAGGTGAGGGGATATGAATCAAAAGGTTATAATCTTTTGATGAATAGTTAAATTTTATCGAATGGGCATGGAAAGTGCGACCTATCGAGGTAGTACGATCCAATATAACGTTCGAATAAGAATGAACTTGAAAATAATTGAGTATGTTTTAATAAAAATAAATGAATAATTGCTTTAAACAATGATGGCCGTATGCATGTCTTTATCATATGGTTGAATTTAATCTTTTATTAGTGCTTGATATGTAATCCCGAATAATTAGTAAAATTAATATTCTTGTATAAGGAATTGATAGATGGGGTAGCCTTCTCATTAGAGGACATGAAAATCGTGATCTTCTCAAAATATGAAACATTCTTTGAAGTTCGAAATAAATTAATTGATAGGTAATAAAATAAGTTGTGGGATAATTTTCGATTTTAGCATTTGTTTCGAGCAGCCCAATAATTGACGGCCTATTGACTTTTACAAGCTGATTACAGTTCCTAACAAAATCTTGATTTCCTACTCCCCTGCAGTTCCAAGTGATGAGTTTCATTGAATGATCATTGCTTCGGTGGTTTTGGTCTGATGACCCAATTCATTACCTTCAGCATCTGTCACTTGGCATGATCTTCAACTCATCCGTAGGCAAAGGGTTTGACTCTCTTAAAGGAACTTTAGTTCCCGTAGAATTAACATTAGTTCTAGTCTCCAATTCCCCACCATCCATGTGCACATCTGTCTTCTCTAATCATGGTATCCTTCCATCTTCTATATCAATCACTTCCACGGGATGGCTATAAAATTTGAATTTGACGGGTTTTAACTTGATCCAATTTGATTGAGTTGTATTTAAAAAATAATTGAGTTTGGGTCGAGTTTTTTAGATAATATTTCGGATCGGAACGGATCCAGATTTAGCGAGAAAAATACTTGAGTCAACCTGAGAAATAATATAAATTCAAATTATATTTAGGGATAATTATAATAATAACTCTCTATATATTATTATTATTTTAATTAGGTCCTTAATTTTTATATAAAGATATTTATTTCGTGTCAAGTCGCGTTCGGGTTTTATCTCAAAAGTCGAGTCAGGTTCAGATTAAGTGAAATTGTCTCTAAACTAGGGTCGAGTCGGATTTTAAATAGAGAGTATATATTTTTTGAGTCGGGTCAGGTTGACCGGAAACCCAACCCTACCCATATCCATCCTAGTTGCATATTGACCAGATTGTTTTTTTTTTTTGACACCAAAAACATGAGCTAGCAAAGAAAATTAGAAACCATTCCTGTTATAGCAAACTGAGATTTATACGAGACTTAATTTTGTTTACTTAATTTTTGTGTTGCAAATCGCTCTGTAATCTGCAAAATCATAACCAAAATTGACACCTACTAATCTATTCATTTACAATCAGAATGGCCTTTTAAGATTCTTAAAATGATCCATAGGATCAACACATTCCATTTTGTTCCTATGAAGATTCAACATCTTCAACACCTCCGAAGCTTTCTCCTTCGTTTTCTCACCACACCCCACCTGCAAAAGCAGCAACAGCTTTTGAAAAGCTCCCACTTGAAGAGCTTCAAACACGGCACTTTTATCATCATCTTCCATTTTGCAGAGTTTTCGCAATACAGACACCGAGAACTCGGTGGTCAAGTCGGAAACTCTGAGGATTTTCTTGACCAAACCGGCATACTCAAGGCGTTGTCGATGGCCATTCGTCTCCCTTCCTCGGTGTCGGATATTGCGTCGAGAACGGCCAACGCCTTCTCGCATATGCTCCGTTCGGAGTCGAGCGATGTCTCGAGTAGCAATGATATTGCGCCTAGGTTTACTAGGTTTCTCACTTGTTTGTCCTTTGTTGGAGATGATGTGATGATCTGGTGAATGATGAGTAAAGCGGCTTTTGTAGATGATGGACAAATTGGGTCTTTGATCAGCTTGAACAGTGCTTCAATGGCGCCTTCTGTTTCTGATAACTCATCCACTTTTGTTGTATTGTGTGATGAAGACGATGAAACGAGTTCCTTTAGCACTAAAACTGCGTTTCTTCCTCTGGACAAGTCTCCGCTTCTTAAGAACCATATTAAGCACTGCATGGCCGAGGCTGATCCGAAGAAACCCTTGGCCTGTACGTTTAGAGGGAACATCATGGTTAAAGCCGACAATATCTCTTCCAAAACATCATCGTTTTCGTCGAAAGAAGACGCCATGGAAAACGCCTGGAAAGCTTCAGATAAAACTTCGCCTGCCCCATTGGAAACAATGCAACGCTTGTTACGTTCACTCTCTTTTGTCAACGACTTCATCTTTACGACCGAATCTCGACACCTTCTTCCGTCTTGTTTCTTACGAGCAACGTCGACCTCAGAAAGGATGCTCGAGACCTCCGCGGAAGTGACCGGAACTCGAGGCGTCGGGATTCTTTCGATCCCTTTCAATCGGTTCTCGACGCACCAATCTTGAATGTTCTTCCTTATGATGTGATTCGGGGTCGGTTCGAGACTCCTCAGAACTCTGTTGGTGAGAGGGCAAGTGAAATTCCCAGACTCGATCCACTTCTCGATGTTTTCCCGATCGTAGGTTATCCCCGTGGACAACGTGACGGCATCTTTCATCAAGTCTAGCGAGATGGGGCACCGGAATTCTCTTGGAACATTAAGCTCAATCTCACCATTTTCGTTCCTTCGATGTTTCCCTCCACGTTTTGCAGCTCTTCTCCTTCTCCAAGAAGAAATCATGGTCAGTAAAGAAAGAACGTTGGGATTTGGTGGGTGATGGAGCGGACGAACATATATGTTTGTGATAATTTCTGGGAATTTGTTCAACGTTTAAGAGCTGAAGGAAATTATTAAATTTGAAAATTAGAATATATCTTTGACCGTTGAATGGATTACTAAAAATTAAAAATGATGAATGCAAATATGCAAATGTTGAAATGGTAAAAGGGGAAGCACAAATTCAAAAACATTGACCAAACCCCAACCCATCACAAGAGGGCAACGTCTATGGGCAAAAGAAAACAATTAATATTAAATTTTGTAATTTAATTTGATTTAACTCGTAATTTAATAAATTTTGATTTTATTTAATAATTAATGAATTAGGTTTTAAATTTAAATCGTGTCTCTCAACTTTACATGATATATATAGGGATAGATTGAAAGGACGGGACGGGTGTGACCAAATTATAATAAAAATATATATATGTAATTATTTTAAAGGAAACAAGTAACAGTATTATCAATTTGGACCTATTAATGACATTATAATAATTGATTTATTTGTTGACTATTACTTTTGTTCGTTTTATTCACTCAACTATTTTTTCTAAATCATAGCTAATGGTATGTTTTAACTTTATTTAGCTCACCCGTCGTTAAAAAATGAATGGTAACGTCGACGTGTCACCATAAGGTAATGTCGCATCATCGTTAAAAAATAAGAAAATGTCATGTTAGTAGTTTTGTTAGTTTTTTAACGGTGAATGACTAAAATAAAATCAAAATATAACGTTAAATGTGATTTTAAAAAAAGTAGTTAAGTGACCAAAACATAATAAAAATAATAATTGGGGTATTAAACTTGTGCATTACCCTTCTTTTTTCACCGGTGTGCAAAATGAACATGGATGCCAGGCCGAAAGACAGTACGTATAGGTTTTGAAAGCTTATATGATAAATAAGTAATTAAAAGTATACTATATTTTTCATTTAAGTACTTAGATTATTTTTTATTAAAATAAGTACATGAAGTTTTTTTTTGTTAAAATAGATACTTAAAGTATTTTTATATCAAAATATGTATCTAAAATATTTAAAAAATTTATCTAAGTACTAAAAGTATTTTTTAATGAATGTCACATGTCAACTTTTTTAGAACTTAAATGAAAAAATTTGAATAATTTATTTAACTATTTTGACATAAAATACTTTAAGTACTTGTTTTTGAATCAAAAATAACTTTATAGATTTATTTTGACAAAAAAAATTCTTTAGATACTTAAATAAAAAATATATTTTATGTATATAAGGGTATCTAGAATAATAAAGATCGGAGTAAAATAATCAAACATTTTAGCATGAGCGAAAGGTAAGTTAAAGTGAAGAAGCAAAATGAAAACGAAGTGGGAAAAAGAAAGCTTAAGAGAGTAGTGATTTAGCAAACAGTGGGAAGAAAAAAATGCATATTTTCTCGAGAATCGGCGCCGAAAGGGAAAGAAAATGTGGAAACGAACAAGACAGTGCTACTGAAAGTCTGAAGCATTTTAGTTTTAGTGCAGAAAACCAGCAAAGTGAGCTGACGTGAAGAGTTGAGAATCAGAGTTTGAAAAACGTTGTGGATGCTAAATCGAGAACCAGATCTGATAAACCAATAATTTAGTTCAAACATACTAAAGTGAGATTATAATAAGATAATCACGTATAAGATTTAACGTGTTTCGGTCTTATTTACTCAACGAATGA